AGATGTAAATATTTGTAAACTTTATTTTTCACACAATTTGTGCTCATTTTGCAAATGCCATCAACAGATGAAAAATCAAATAATTTGTTAACCAATTGTCGAACAAAACCCGAAGACTTTTCTGTGATTAAAACTATTGGTATGTATTGACTATAAGTGATTCATTGGTTGAGTACTGACGTGGTATGTCTGACAGGTCGGGGCGCTTTCGGTGAAGTCCAGTTAGTGAGACATAAGTCGACTAAACAAGTCTATGCCATGAAATTGTTGAGCAAATTTGAAATGGTTTGTTGTCTCATATTGTGGTCTATTGTGTGGAGTATTGACATTGATTTGTGAAAATTACAAAACAGATAAAGCGATCGGATTCAGCATTTTTCTGGGAGGAGAGGTTCATAATGGCGTACGCGAACACGGAATGGATTGTAAAGGTATGTCCATAATTGGCACCTCTTTGCGTCCAATAATGTGACAATATTTTGGTGATGTCTTGTTCAGTTACACCACGCCTTTCAAAACAATCAATTCTTATATATGGTTATGGATTACATGCCGGGCGGCGATCTCGTCAATCTGATGAGCAATTATGATGTGCCCGAAAAGTGGGCCAAATTTTATTGCGCTGAAGTCGTCTTAGCCGTCGATTCCATACATTCAATGGGTTTTGTGCACAGGGATGTCAAACCAGACAATATGTTACTCGACCGCAGGGGTCACCTCAAGTTGGCTGACTTCGGCACCTGCATGAAGATGGACTCCGACGGCTTTGTTAGAAGTGATACCGCCGTCGGAACTCCTGATTACATATCACCAGAAGTGCTGAAATCTCAAGGAGGAGAGGGCTGTTATGGAAGGGAATGGTATGAATAATTGGATTGTGTTTGATAATAGCGATAATAAATGATAAACTCATTTATGGTAACATAAAGTGATTACTGGTCTATTGGAGTATTTCTGTACGAAATGCTTGTGGGCGACACCCCCTTCTACGCGGACTCATTGGTGGGCACTTACGGCAAGATAATGGATCACAAGAACTCTCTGCACTTCCCAGAAGACGTGCAAATATCAAAGGACGCGCGACAACTCATTTGTGCATTTCTTACCGATCGGTCCCAACGATTGGGTCGAAACGGCGTCAATGATATCAAAGGCCATCCGTTCTTCAAAAATGATTTGTGGACTTTCGATAACATACGAGAATGTAAGCGATGGACAAAACATTGTCATTAACTCTATGACTAATCGAGCGCTACGTGTGTTTCAGGTGCTCCACCAGTAGTTCCCGAACTCATGAGTGATGACGACACCAGTAATTTCGATGACATTGAAAAAGACGACTCAACCGAAGAAAGTTTTCCAGTGCCTAAAGCCTTCGCCGGCAATAATCTACCGTTCGTTGGCTTCACTTATTCCAGTGATTATCAGTTGTTGTCCAGAGATAAGAGCGAACGAAAGAGGAATGGATCCATTGAGGTATTGTGTGTTGACTTAGGATTCAGTTGTTTATGTAAATGACACTTTAATTCTTTAATTGCTATTATATTTATTGTTTTAAAGCCCGAAACGGAAAGAAAATTAGAAAAACTTGAGGACGAAATTCATAGAATAACTGCCGTTAATAAAGATATTGATAACAAATACCGGTAAATATTATTGTAAATTATGTTTTTTAGAATAACAATTTATAATTGATTTCTATATATTTAAGTATAACTTTGAGCCAACTCGAGAAACAAGGCGATAATTTACTTGCTTTAAGGAGTGAAAAGTTGGAACTCGATAAGGGATTAACAGTTTTAAAACATGACATTAAAGAGGTTTGTGTTAATGATTTAGAAGACCATTATAGACAGTATTGATAATGAATTGAATGATAGGCCCAAAGAAAGTATGAACTGGAATGTGATAACCGACGCAAAGTGGAGAGCAAAGTGAGTGAGTTGTGGGCAAAACTAGAACAGGAACAGAGTCTCAGATCACAACTCACTCACTCAACACAGCATACAAACGACAAGTTTATAGTTCTCGAGAAACAGTTCGCGACGATCAGCGATAAACTGAAAGCCGAATCTGAAACTGGAGTTAAACTCAAGAAACTCAACGCTGAGCTCACACTCAATGCCAGCAATAAAGAGAAAATAATCGATGAATTGAGCGAAAAGATTGAAATGTTTCAAAGAGTGAACACTAATCAAGCGCTTGACATACAGAACCTTCAGAATCAAATAGATAAGGCTCACAATTCCTGGGCTCAAATCAATGACAGAACTCAGGATTTAGAGAGTATTGAATTTTCTTAATTTACCTGGACCACTTGAAAAACTAATGTATTTATATTTAGACCGAAAACAACTCATACAAAGAGAACTGGAAGTACTTCGTGAGCGCGAGGCCTCCACTGCTATTGAGAATCAAAGACTAACCGATTCTATCGTAGAGATGGAAAAGGTTTGGAGTTCAAAGTTTGTTAGTGTCGAGTGTTTTCATATGATTTCATTGTGTTTAGGAGAGAGCAATGTTATCAATAGAGCTGAAGAATTCACAGAAAAAGTTAGAGCAACAGACCAGTGCTCACGAAGAGGCCATCAATGCATTCAATGCTGACAAACAGCGGTCCACAGAAAATAATGATTTCGAGTCATTACAAGGTTTGTATTGAATTAAGTTTTAGAGTTTTAGTTATTTTATGCATTCATTCGGTGTTTAGTTCTTCAATCAAAACTCAACGAAGAGAAGAGTTTGCGGCAAAAGTTTGAGAGTCAGTGTCAGGAAAAGGAAAGACAGATCTCTATGATTAACGTCGACTACAGACAACTTATGCAACAAATCCAGAAAATTGAGGGCGAATTGAGACAAGAAAACGATAAAACAAAAGCACTTAAAGTACAATTGGATGAAGACGTGAACAAACGCTCGCACTTGCAGTCGGGTCTCAAAGAACAAACAGAAGAGATCATTAGTTTGAGACAAAGAGAGATAAATCTCATAAAAGACTTAAATGAGTTCAAAGACAATAAGAAAAAAGCCGAGGAAGAGATCATGCGGTTAAAGAGGTTTGAATTGATAAAATCATTCAAAATGAAAGCAATATTTATAATAATTTATCAAATGTTTAGCGAACGGTCTATGGATGAGTTACAGCTGAAGGAACTTCAGGATCAGTTAGAGGCCGAGCAATACTTCTCTTCGTTATATAAAACTCAAGTTAAAGAACTTAAAGAAGAAATTGAAGAAAAGCAAAGAATAATCAGTGATTTTGAAGAAGAAAAGTATAAAAAGCATTTAATTTATATTGAAATGATAGCTAATTTTAAAATGATTTGTCTAATAGGAGTAGTCTTTGTCATCAAATCGAGATAGCGTTGGCCAGGGCTGAAACGGAAGGTATGGCGCGCCGACAGGCAGAGGAGTTGACCGCAGATTTAGAGAAAGAGAAGGCTATTCGAGAACTTGAGATCGAAGACAGTGAGAGACGTCTGAGATCTGAATTGAATAGCAATGAGGAGACAATCAATACTTACGTGAATAAAGAGAACGAATACTCAAAAACTATTGAAATATTAACGAAAGAGAAGGAAGAGTTGAATACAAAAATACATTTTATGAATCAGGGTTTGTATTGACATTTTTACCCATAATATGACAGTTAAATGAGTTGATAATTTGTATGTATCTATGAATGAAATAGAAATGAATAATTACATCAACCAAACAGTTCATAACGACAAAGTGGAACAATTGACAAAACAGTTACAACAGGAAAAACTCCTCAAACAACAGGCGGTCAACAAATTGGCAGAAATCATGAACAGAAGAGATATGAATATAAGCGGAAAGAAAAATAAGGGCAGTTCTGCTGATCTCAGACGCAAAGAGAAAGAGTGCCGTAAATTACAACAAGACTTGACTACTGTATGTCTTTCAATATATAATCATTTCTTCGGCTTAATTGATCACATTTTGAATGACTGACAGGAAAAAGACAATTACAACCAAATGGTGTCCAGATTTCAGAAAGAGATTTCTGATATGCAGGCAACTCTTCACGAAGAAAGTCAGCTTAAAGTCAAACTTCAGATGGAATTGGATTCTAAAGACGCTGAAAACGAACAGTTGAGACAAAAAATGATTTTAAGACTTTCAGACGAACAGATCATCAGCAGCTCTATCAAAGAGATCGAGTCCAACGATATCGAGAACTTGCGGTTAGAGGGCTGGCTGTCGATCCCTAACAAACAAAACATTCGTAGACACGGCTGGAGAAAGCAATACGTGGTTGTGTCGAGTCGTAAGATTATCTTCTATAACAGCGAAGTGGACAAAGCAAAGGCCGACCCGGCGCTCATCTTAGACCTCAGGTCTGCCTCTTATATCACATTCTAATTAATCTTTGAATTAATTTTTAAATTTATAAATTATAGCAAATTATTTCACGTCCGTTCCGTCACTCAAGGTATGATTAAGTGATTGATTTTATGTTTGGACTCTTTGTTATGATTTGCTCCTCATTTCAGGTGATGTTATCAGAGCTGACGCTAAAGAAATTCCGCGAATTTTTCAAGTAATGAATTGAATTAAATTTAAAATGTGTTCAATATTTTAACTATAAATATGTTATAATTTATTGACAGCTGTTGTATGCGGGCGAAGGAGAGAGTAGAAAACCGGGCGATACCTCACATCCGCCAGAAATAGCCAATAAAGATGTAAATATAAATTCACTTTAATTATGTGTTCAACTCATCATGGTATTATTGCATTACAGCCGACAACAGTTGAACATAAGGGACACGATTTCATTCCAATTAGCTATCATATGCCCACCACTTGTGAGGTGTGTCCCAGACCTCTGTGGCATATGTTTAAACCTCCGCCCGCTCTCGAGTGTAGACGTGAGTGACCTTTACTTTGACGAACTTTGAATTCATTGAATAGATATGACTGGGATTATAATTGCACTGCATTTATACGCATATAGGGTGTAGAGTAAAGGTGCACAAGGAACATTTGGATAAGAAGGAGGAGGTGGTGGCGCCCTGTAAAGTCAATTACGACCCCAACACCGCTAAAGAGTTGCTATTACTGGCCATTTCTCTCGAAGAACAACAACAATGGGTCCAGAAGTTGAGGAAAAAGATCGAGAAGTGCGGTTACGCCGCCAACCAGGACTCCAAGTCTCTCAGGTCTGTACCCATTGTTTTCATCTATAATTTGTCCTAAACTCTGTCCATTGATTACAGATCTTCGAGTACTCAGTGTTTAGTGAAGTCGGCGTCAATGAAGTCCTCGACATTACCGCCAATTATGCCCACAAATAACAATAATAACAGAAAGTCTTAATCCATTCTCGAGTGCCTTTCGAAACAAAATATTGTGTATTTATATTATTATTTATTTAAACATTAGATGAGATGTAATCAAAATGTATTTTTATATTTTATTATTTAATTGCAATCATTTGCCAAATCTATTGTAATTTCTATAGAAATTAATTATTTGTTAATCAGTGCCTTAAAACTGATTCATGACTTCATTCTTCACTCATTCGTCCATTTTTTACAAATATTTCAAACATTTTCCATTCATTTCTGACTGAAATTGTTTTATTCATTCAAATGATATTATATTTCGATAATTAAAGCAAATCTTTCAGTCCAACAGTAGTCACAAAAATATTTGTTTTATAAAAAGCAATAATTTGTAAAACAAATCAATTGAATATCTTTTATAAAATAGTTTTCAAATTGAATAAAATTGAAAGAAATGTTTGTTCAACA